TTTGGCAGAACTTCGTTATATGATAAAAGAAAACTTCTGACCAAAATTCGTCCAAATCGAAAGGGGTCGATTCCAACTATTGGTCGATTTGACATAGAATGACCCATATCTTAAAATACATAGCTAAAAATATAAAAAAAATATGTTTTGAAACCTTTATTAAAAAGTTGATGTGAGGTTTTCATATTGTTGTCGTTTTTCATCGCTATGGTAACCACTTTGGTAACGGTTACGATAGCAACGATTACTATGGCAATGGTTAAATGTTAATGATTAAAATTTAAGTTTTCGTCAATATTTAAAATATTTAAATAACTTAATCTTGAGAGTTTGGACAATCAATGAAGATATTTTAAATATGGGCGAGAACTTAAATATTAATTGTACAATGAGGAACACTTTCAGACATATAGAGCAAGAATTTGGCATGAACACCTGTATGAAGCTCGAAGATCTTTTTCGTTGCAATTTTTATAATTTAATATCTTCATTTATTGTCCGAATTCTCAAGATTAAGTTATTTAAATATATTAATGATTAAAATTTGCCAAAATATTGATTAATTAAATTATCGATAATAAAGATTATAATAAAAGCGTATTCATATACAGATAAATATATTATCTAAAATATATAAAATATATATGAAAATCGGCCAAAAGTTAGTTATTAAAAATTAGAAAAACGGTTCACCCTAAAGGCCATCCCTGCAACTTCCCGCTCATTTTGTATTTAAACGCTTCAAACTACACATTACGTTTTTGAGCTCTTCGAGCTCAAGAATATTATTTTTGTGTCAATTTGAGCTCTTCGAGCTCAAAATTCTAATAGCAGTTTAAAGACACAATTTTTTTAATTTTCAAACGGCAATAACTTTTGAATGAATGAACCGATTTTCACGCGGTTGGCGGCAATCGACGCAGTTTTTGAAGCTCCATGAAAAATTTTCAAGTTTAAATCGATCGAGTCATGAATTTCGAGGTTATTACAAAAAAACACTTTTTTCGATTTTTTTCGACAACGATATCTCACGAACGCATCGACCGATTCTAACGTTTTTGGTGGCGATCGATGGGGGTTTTCAAGATTAAGAGCTGATTAGTTTTTGAGACCGATCGGTTCAGCCAATTCGAAGATATTTAAAAAAAATAAAAAAAAAACAACTTTTTTTTTCACTTTTTTTGCATTTTCTCGAAATCTACCGGTCGGAATCGGTTCAAATTTTCAGGAAATCTAAGTTTACTGAAGCCCTTTCGAATGACACCAACCGCGATGAAATCGGTCGAGTCGTTCAAAAGTTACAAGAGGTTTACACACACACACACACACACATACATACAGACGTACGGACATCATCGTAAAAATAGTCAGGGAAGCTTCCTGTGACCTTCAAACGTCGAGATCTGATGAAAACTCGATTTTTGTAAAACGGGGTGAAAACAATAACTTCCCGATTTTTGAAAATCTGAGATTTTTAGCGGGAAGTTAAAAATATATTTACTATACATATTTACATATTTTTTATAGATTTTTTAATATATTTAAAATATATTTTTTATGTATTTCGACATATATTTTTTTTCATGGGGGTTTAAGCTTCTTTGAATAAAAACTGCGACACGGATGAAGACTGTGGAAATATTTGGCGATCGGAGTGCTCAGATAGTAAAACATGTTTTTGCAAAGCGAATCACACTGTAGTTGACGGTTCACAATGTGCGCCATTACTTGGCGAATTTTGTCTTAATGCCGATGACTGTGCACCACATCGGTCTGTGTGCTTCAAAAGTAAATGTGACTGTCAATCAGGTTTTGTAGCTCAATCCAATACTGAATGTATACCAGGTAAATGAAATTTTTCAGCCATAATGTTTTACAAATTTTATTGAAAAATGCTTGTTTCAGCTCTGTTGGGAAAACCTTGTGAAATGGATATAGATTGCAGTGGAATAAATCATTCAAAATGTTCAAAAAGTAATGTTTGTATTTGTAGAGAAAATAATATTGCAGTAAGCAGTTCTAGTTGCGAACCACTTTTGGGCAGTTTTTGTTGGAAGAATGAAAAATGCGCTCCAGATAATTCTGTTTGTTTGCAAAATGAATGTCGATGTAAACCTTTTTTTATGCCACTATCTTCTACTCATTGCGTAAAATGTAATTTTGGAAAATGATTTTAGTCAAAAATCTATCTATAAGGTTTGTTTTGATTCATTTTTGATAGAATATTTTATTTTCTTAGTGCCGCTAGGAGAATTTTGTGTGAAACATTCTGATTGCATCACAGTGAGTTATCTAAAATGTTCGCAACATAACAAATGTGTTTGTAGAGCAATTTACGTTGAAGAAAATCAAACTAATTGCAGGCCTCTTTTGAACGGAATTTGTCTGACTGATGATGACTGTTTACCTGATCATTCTGAATGTGTTAATGGTAAATGCAGGTGCCAGAAAACATTTATACCTGCGTCCAATGATCAATGTATACCAGGTATGTTTCTTTTGAATCAATAATTAATGATCTATATGTTTTTGTTATAAGTTATAAGTCGACGGTCTAATTAGCAATTGGTCTAACTCCTTATTTTTTGGAGGATAAATTTTTAACATTTTGATGTAACAATAGTCTAATTATAAATTATTTGAATGATCCAAATCAAAATATTATACCTTTATTAGATATTAAATTGTTTTTTAAAGTGATAATAAATTTCGAACTAATTGTTTTTTCGTACAAATAGAAGTACGAGAATTTTTTATAAAATGGAGTTAGACAATTTTCTAGTTAGAACGTCAAAGTATCTATGAATTAATTTCGTTGGATATTTTTAGTTGAACCCCTCAAGCAATGTAATAGTGACAAAACTTGTAACGACCGAAACACAAATTGTAACGAAGACAATGAATGTGAATGTGCAGTATTGTATGAAAAGAGAAACGGAACGTGCATGCCATTGATAGAACATTTTTGTTTCAAAGGCGATGTATGTTTTCCCAATCACTCTGAGTGCGTCAATGGTATATGCCACTGTAAAGATCATTTTACAGCTCACTCCAATAATCTATGCTTACCAATTGATTGAAAGGTGAAATGAGTATTATGATAAAAAAAAATAGCACGTTGATTTGTTATGAATTACGAATTATATGAAATGTACCCATTAGATTGAGTCTTAAAAAATTTATCAATAAAAATTGTTGACAAAATTTTGTATATTAATAATTAATTAATTCATTAAATTATTATGAAAATAGCGAATTAATTGTGTAAGAATATAAAAAATTATTATAAAAATATATAATAGACGTAAATTTTGAAAAAATTGAATTTTTTCAAAATATTTTATTAGAAAATAAAATCAATACTGCAAAAATTGCAAAATGATTTTTTCTAAGATGATAATTTAAAAATGAAAGTTTGCGATTTCTTCGATAGTTGATAAGTACCTGCATATCCTGGAAATATAGGCGCTGATGTTACCATCATTCACTTCTTGCTCATATGATCACATATCGAATGACAAAACTCTTTACTCACTTATAATGCAGAAAATGATAAATATGACTATAATTTACTAACATTTAATGTTTGAAGTAAAAATTGATTGAGAGAACTTGGAACAAATAAATAAATTCATAATCGATTGCATAGTTAGGACTCTTGAGTGAAAATAAAATTTTATTTTCAATAGAACAATAAAATTTTTCAACTACATTAAATGTAATACTCAGAAAATTCTCATGTAATACGCTTTCATAATTAAATAAAACATACAACAATAAAAATATTATTGCTTCCCATATTTAACAACAATTTTTATCGTCTAATTTTAGCAAATAAAAGAACTCAAAATTTACGAAAACAATGGATTAACTCTTGAGCGAACTTTTTATGTTTTTACACATTTTAAATAGATGCATCATTTGTATACAGTAAATGATCATCATAAATTTTTAAAAGGGACAATAAAAATTTAGCCCAACTTCCGGAATATCATTGAGTTTATTTTAATAGTTATTGTTACTATTGTTACAGTAACAATGCATTTCAAAAGCTTCCAACAATATTACAATATTTAACCGATCAGATAGAAAGAGATCCTATAATATAATATAATAACCTGTGAATTTTTACGAGTCTCTTTACTCGATGGAAACTTTTTACCTCGGCAGACATTATCTCAAAAGTAGTAAATAGTAAAGCAAAGCAGCGGGAATAGAACCACTTACACTTGAGAACCTCAGCCTCTATAAAGAAGTCTCTCGAGTCTCCGCGGCTGATTTCTTCGACAAAACTTGTGTCGCACATCCACGAGAAAAAAATCTCTACATATTTTTAACATCATGATATTATTTACCGTGAGTTTACAATTTTTATTTAATTATTTTACTAGTAATCCATTTATGGACAAGTTAAATCGTGGTGTGATTTTTTATTATTTTTTTCAAGTGAAAAATTAACTAATTTTGAGTCAAAATAATTTTAATTAAAGTGAAAGTGTCTCATTAATTATTTTAGTGTTTAACTTTTTCTAAAAATTAATTTGCACGAAAATATATAAAAAAATCCATAAATTATAATTAAAGTTCAAAAAATTTTGACTGTAAAGTTTTTGAATTTTATTTTTTTTTTTAGAATTTACTGCAATAAAAAAATTGTTTTCTTGCAAATCAATAAATAAAATTACAATTATTTATTCGTAGTAAATAATTAACTGTAGCGTGAATGAAAAAATGTAAATTATAAATTAACATTATTAATAAGATAATCATCGTATATGTTTAATGTATGAAGAATCGTACATTCAAGGATGCGCATGAAGCATGTGTATACTTTCTATCATTAGATTCACCCACGAGTTACATCATCAAGTAACATCGCAAATAACCTTTTGAATTGCTATATTACATGCACTGTTGTTTTTTCTTCCAAGGCATTCCTCTTGGTGACTGTTTCGTCCCAGTTTATTCATGCCGAAGATGCTCCACACCGTAGACTTCGTGCGCCGCAACAAAGTCGTGCTGACTATCAGACTCCAGATGGTTAGTCAACCATTTTTCCACAATTATTATCACTATTATTATTAATTTATCACTAATCATTATTCATTTCAGGATACGAAGTAAACGGAAAAATGTTCACCCCTAATTCGCAGTGGAAAGCACGCGAGCAAAGACAGAACACGCGACAAGAACCCAGGGCTCCAATTCAAAAACAGACGGAGGAATTTTATCAGTACAAACCATATTCAGCGATTCCGGAAAATATCAAGCAATTACTGAATTATTATTACACACCTCAAGCGCCATATGTTAATCCTCATTCATTTTTTTACAACATCAATCCTATGCAAACGCTCGCTCAAGATAATTCTGGAGATAATTCTAAACAACAAGAATATTTACCGCCCCAAGAATCCAAAGAGTTTTCAGCATCTCAGCAGTTTCCTGGACCAGAATCTTGGTCCCCATCGACAAGACAACCGACTTATTCGCCTCCTGTTGGTCATGACGAAAACCAAAACCAAAACCAACAAAATTCACTAGCTCATCGTTCAAATTACCCGAGTCACACGCTAGCTTCAATAAAGAAAACCCCAAAGGCGGGAATCAAGTACAAAGATGATTTGACTCCCAATCAGTATCAAAATCAAAATCATCAACGTTTTGGTTATCGATCATCGGCAAATTCCCGCCAAGATCAAGGCAAAAGGTCTCTAGAAAAGGACTTGGGGAATTACGAGAAAAAACCCAGCCAAGGTTACCCAAATATGCCCCAAGAAATCAGCCAAATTTTGCAGTTCCAGGCTCAAATTCCGTACAATGTTCTCGCGAACCAAATTCTGTTCGAGTTCAAAAAACCATTGGTTCCACAGCCATTGCCCAATGACATCCAGTACTCAGGACACTATCCTAACAAGGTTTACTACGTGCGACCTGATGGCGAAATTGTCGACCATCCCCCCGAAGAGGCCTCAAGTAGGCAAAATTATAAGTATTAGTTGGGGACTTATCTTATGAATTATCTTATTGTAGAAAGTTGTATAAATTATCAGTTCTTATGAATTTATAATGTAAATTGTAATGTTTTTGACGTTGATTGTATATGCTATCAATTAATGTGTCATATGAAAAAACGTTGTAATTAATGTTGTTAATAAAGAATTATTTTTAATTGATGCTTTCGTTGGAAATTATTATAAGTAAAGTGTAAAGAAAATTTCTAAGTAAGAATTTAAGTGAAAAAATCATAGTATTAATATTTAAATAGAAACAAAATTGGTGAGGGAAATTAAAGGATAATAAGAATGTGTTTGTAAAAAATTTAGACGAGAAAAATTACAGGAATTGAAAATTTGAAAGGACGATGAATGTGAAATCATACGCGACGTATTAATATGCGCTATTGATTGAAAGGAATTTTTCAGATATCATTAATCAGTAATTATCAATAAATCTAATGTATGGAAAGAGAGGGTGGGGGTTAATTTTACTGGATTTCACTTTGAAGAACTGAACAGGATAGTGAGATTTTCTCCGTCGACTTGATAAAACATTGAATACCTTGCTTCTTGGTTCGCCATTCAACAGCCATCTCGTCCATTCATCCCCTCTTCATTACTCCTCAGCTTCTTTTTTTTATACACTTATTATGTGGATGCATGTATGAGGAGTCTACCTTCAAGTATAAGTAATATAAAATAAACTGGAAATGTCATCGGTTAATAGTATAGACGGTAGACGTTTTAATCTTCGTCATCTCGCGTCAGCACATCAACCATCAACCTCTACACTTTTTTCAATTGAATTGAATTTTCTAAACAAGAATTTTATTATTTGTTTAAAATATTGAGAAGATTTTTTTGGCTTAACTGATTCTAAGATTTCTCTTGATTTTTTTTTTTGTTGGGATATTTCTTTTTGTGTATTCACACATTGCGACTTGTTACTTCCTAAGTTTTAAATTTCAGAAGTTTATTGTTGCCGGAATATTTAATATTTTTGTTATCGGTTAATTTTATTTGTAAATATTTTTTTTTAATCTATTAGCAAATTTATCTGGCCTTTTTTTTAAATTTTTTAATATTTATTTTGTGATACTAAATTTATTTAAAAAAATTTATGACAGAGTTGTCTCGGTGTATATATTTAAGTATTTTATCAAAACGGGTAGAATGTGACGGATGATTTTTCATTCTACCCAAGCTGAATGAATGTTAAGTGCTCTTGGATCTAAATCCTCTGCTATTTTATTTTAATAAAAATGTCTGGTAATGCAGGAGCATATAAATATTTTGAATAATTTGTCACGTCAAAAAACATTTTTCTTTTAGTATTTATAAATAACTGGGGTAGCTTGTCTCCACACTCGAGATTAATTTAATTTTTTCAAAATCAAAAATTCACTCTTGAAACCATCTGTTTCAAGAATGATGAAAAAAATGGAATATACAACAATAATTTTTTATCATTAAATTATCTTGTCAATATTTTTGATCTGTTGAAAAAATTTTTAAAGATTAAACGTAATAATTTATTAAATATTGAATCAAAACTTGGAGACATCAAATAATTCATAGAAAAATATAAATAAACCTCAATTGAATTATTCACAAAGTAATGTTAATACAACATATTTTAACCCTTACAAACTATAGTCCGCATCTATCGTAGGGTATATTTTGCGAAGACGATGCGGGTCGATAAATGCTACCAAAGGGTCCAAGAGGAATAAATGATAACAATAATAAAAGAACGACCTCCCTCGAGTTCGTCCAGTACTTGTGCCCGATGTACTGGAGCACATAAGGTACCAAGTGCGAGGAAGAAGGACAGGTATAGGGGTAGTTTCAAAAACCGGTACACCAATTCCACTCTCAGAACTTCTTTATTATTGCATTTGTATTTGGTTTTCTAAAAATATATAACATCAGCCCGACCCGGATGACAGACGGAACAAAGTAGAGAATATATAAACCGGAGTGCCTTCCGCCACGAGCATTATATTTACGACCCTCGACACCTCTCTACTTTGCCTCCTCAATCAAAAAATAAAACACTTTTTCTTCCTTTTTATTTTTCGGTCTTTCCGAGTTCTACATTTAAAAAATAAATATTTATGTCGTAAATGCTTGTTGGATTGTAAATCTTTACAATATTTATAGCTAACAAATTTGCAGTCCATGTAAAACTTTTAGAAAAATTGACTTAATATAAGAGAATAAATCTTGAACCAATACAAGTAAAATTTCTTTGTTCAAAAAGTTTTTTCTTGATTAAAAAAAAAACTCTTTTTGTTCAAGAATTTTTCTTTCTATTTTATTTTTTATTTAATTTTTTTTTTTACTATAACAACTAAAGTCACTTTTTAAAAATTAAAAATTAATTTCAAAGCACGTATTTGCGACACAATTATATTGTATCAAGTTATAAAGCTTAGAAAAAATCAAAATATCGATAAACATCTCGTAGAAATATGAGAAAAAAAATTATGTGAATAAACAGGTAACATCTGATAGAAATTTTGTCGGATCCCCGGTGACTAATGATGGTCACCATCTGATGATTTATTCCCTGGTTGAATTTTCCCATGGGATCGTATGTCACGTGTTGAAATTGTTCATCATTCAGATCACTATGTACAATGTATAGTACATACAAAAACAGTGTAAAAGTAGATGTGTTCGTGTCATCGGTGTCGCGGTAGAGTTAAAGCCGTAGTTGAAAGAGACAGCGAGTGCGCGAAATACGCATGCGGGGGTGTTTTAAGGAGGCGTGGCAAACTAGAACGCAACCCTCGGATGCTTACCCTCTGATCGTAACATCAACGCCTGGAACCTTGTCGCATTCATTTCAAGCGCTTTGTGCTGCATGCTATTTTATGCGTTATAGTTACAATAATCTTCATGCAACTGCGGTGCCCTTTCAACTTTACCAAGTCATCGAGTATATAATTTTCAATGTTTGAAATTGCGGTTTAAACTATCATTTACCCACAACCTATGTCATTATGTACTTGGATCATCTACAAGCTTCAATTTTTAATCATTCAAATGCCGAAAGATTTTCTGGTTTTTGGCTGAACTTTAATTTTATTTTTTTATTAAATTTATTTATATTTTTTGACATACTTATTATTATTTTTTGGAGAAAAAAATCAATTTATAATTGATCTTTCTATTGCAGATCAAAATTATTACAATAATTCTAACTAGCAATCTTGCAGTCATTATTTGACTGCTGTGACTTGTAAACTATAAAAAATTAAAATTTTGCCTTATTAAGTAATTACTTTTGTTAAATTGCACTGTACTTCTTTAACTATTGACGTTTTTAAAGAAATAAGCTCATCCCGATGTTACACTCATCAAGAGCTTTCATTTGAGTACCCACATGCATTTTAATATATTTTTCATATATTCATATAAATAATATATATTATATAAATATATGAAAAATTGATGTGGGTACTCAAATGAAAGGTCTTGATAAGTGTAATGTCGGGGTGAGCTTATATCGTTATAATATAAAAAATGTCAATAGTTTACGAGATACAAAGTCGTTTCTTAATTATGTTAAATTACACTGTAATTTCTTAAATATTGACGCTTTTAAAGATATAAGTTCATCTCGATGTTATTCTCATCAAGAGCTTTCATTTGAGTACCCACATGCATTTTAATATATTTTTCATATATTCATATAAATAATATATATAAATATATGAAAAATTGATGTGGGTACTCAAATGAAAGGTCTTAATGAGTGTAATGTCGGGGTAAGCTTATATAATTAAAAATGTCAATAGTTCACGAGATACAAGGTCGTTTCTTAATTATGTATCTAGAGATAGAGCATTTTCGAATGCAGCCTAAATACTTCAGTGATCAGTGATAAATTGACTATCGTTGAGAATGAAATGAAATCTTGAAGAGACACAAATTCAAATCAAGACCTTTGCAATAACACTAAATTTCATGGCAGTTAATTTTATTATAATTAATTATAAACACAATATATAACTTTTCCATTATTTTTTATTATAATAATAATATATTATTAGAAAAGTGTTGGTTGCAGGTTAACCATCAAATGTTTGTTTTCATTTTAATTTTTCACGGTAAATTATTAAATATTTTATTATTTGGGAATCTTACAAATTTTTATTAATTATTCATATGTTGATGGATTTATAAACTAATATTTATTTAAAACAATGTTTATTGCAATTAACATATGAATAGTTAATAAAAATTTGTAAGATTCCTAAATAATAAAATATTTAATAATTTACCGTGAAAAATTAAGATGAAAACAAACATTTGATGGTTAACCTGCAACCGACACTTTTCTAATAATATATTATTATTATAATGAAAAATAATTTAAAAGTTATATATTGTGTTTATAATTATTTATAATATAATTAACTGCCAAAATAAATCCTTCGTTCAAATTAAAAATAGAAAACAAATAAAAAAAACTATATTTTAAAAAAATTTTTTTAAAAATTATTACAAACAAAAAAATCTTGTTTGGTTTGATATTTTTTTTTGATTGCTAAAAATATTTTTTACTCTAAAATTTTTTATTTTTTACAAACATTTTCTTATTTTTTTTGCTATAGTGCATTCGGAAATTTAAATTATTGCATATTTCATTTTACTATGGTACATTTCAATTTCTACCGTTTGCTATGTCTGATTTCATTTGTTTCGGAAATTACTATGGGCCATTGTAAAATTTTATTCTGAGTCAATAAGGTTCACTAGTAATATGCACCATTGTAAAATTTAAAATCCATGCAGAATAAAAAATAATAGAAATTTCTCACCGTGTATGACTATATCCTGGAAACAAAATTATTCTTATTCTCTCAATAATATAAATAAAAAAACTTGTTAACGTTTGATAAGTTTTTTATGATGAACATATTTCATTTTTATAAAATCATCATACAAGATACTTAATACATAACACATCAACAAAATTGTATCTAGAT